TTGGAGACAATGCAGGTTCTCTTTTACAGTACCTCTAACATACAACCTTGAGATTCCCATTCTCTGATTTTTTACCTGTGAGTGACCTCAGCCCAGGATTTTTTTTTCAAAATGCTGGGGGCATGCAAAGAGACATCATTTTAACATTCAAAATAGGAAACCCTACATTTTTTTATAGCTCTCTGTACATTCACTGTGTCCCCACTTGTTCCTGGGGAGCACAGGTACTCTGCAGCTCTGACAAAGCCCCTGTGACACTAGAATAAGCTCTTCTGGAAAGAGAAGGATGGGGAGGTTTTAAGGTACGAGCCAAGCCAAACTCATGCTGGAGTCAGAGAGCTGGCTGAAATCCCTGAATTGAAGCAAAATAATTGTTTCATATTGTTTCAATATTATTTTTAACAAACTGATGACCGATTGAAACATAACGGGCTAGGGATTGTTTTTAAATGAAAATTGAAGAAACAGCTGTTGGCATTCAAATGCGATCCTGTTATTATGTATTTACTCTTCTAATGTTTGTTTCACTAATATTTACCACAAATCTCATTTGAGTAAGATAGTAAGACATCTAAAGCATGACACATAATTACACAGAAAAAGAGAATGCTGACTCAAAAAGAAAACATTTTTCCATTTGAGTGTATTCCACTGTCTCAATTAAAAGCCTAAAGAGTATTGTTGAGTAAGATTTTAGTTATGATCATATTTCAATTCAGGCTAAAGAAATGCTGAAATAAATTGGTTGTTGAAAATTCTAAAATCCCAAGAGAAATTGTTGTGTTCCAGACACTCTTCTAGGTGCTTTTAGCTATGTTAGATCATTTAACCCTCATAATGCCTAATGTGGGGTAGGCGCTATTATTACATCCCCATTCAGCAGACAGACCTCTCTCGGTTACAGGTGACACAGCTAGTAAGTAGCAGCCTAGGCAGTCTGACTGTAGGCTGGCTCATAACCATTACTCTAAAGGCTGTTTTAAAACTTGAGGGAAACAGCTTGCTTAAAGAAAATAGGTGTCAGTAGATAATTTTATCCTAAAATATGAGTAATTCTTAAACAGTAATAGCTTCCATTTATCATGCTCCTACTTGTGTGTCTGGCTATATGCTAAGCACTTCCTATACATCGTTTTATTCAGTCCTCAAAAAGCCTGTGAGGTAAAGGATTTATTATCCTTGTTTTACAGGAAGATGCAGCAGAGGATTAGGGAAGTTCAGTAACTTGCTTGAAGGTCATATAGAACTTGTAAGTAGCAGAGCCGAAATTTGAGCCAGGACTATTCACTTTCAAAGACCATCAGCGTCACCACTGCTGGGCTGCTTTCTCCATGTTACGATACACCCCCCCTTTGTCTAATCAGCTTGTATTCCCTTCCTGAACAAAATTGTTGGTAATAAAAATGTCGATCAAGAGGAGAAGATAAAGGAGTTTTAAAGTAGAGGAAATTTGTCATATTAAAATACGACAAAAATATTTTTGGTTGTCATTAAAAAAAAAAAAAATCTGTCAACAAGCATATCTTGCACTCTGTTCCAGAGTGTGTTACAATATTATCACAGAGTTTTGACATTGTGATATAAACGTGTTTTGTTTATAATTGGAAGACTGTGCAGCTAGAATAACTTTTTGCTTGGGAAGTCGATATCCTAGATAAAGCATTTCATTTTTGCACAGAGAAAGAAATTAATCACAGTACCTGTTCAGTGAGAATTAGCAGTGAAATTGCTAACCTTATAGGTGAGAGAAATATTGGTTGCCCAGTTGAGAAAGTGACTTTTATTTTAAATAAAATATAAAACAAGTAAGAATATTAGTGAGTCAGATTCCTCATTCCTGACCTTATCAGTAAAAGACGGTTTGAAAATAAGATTATGACACCAGAAGGCCAGTTCCCTTTAACTGCATGTAACAAGGATATGTACTGTATTCTGGAAAAACACAAGGGTAAAAAAACAAATAATAATTAAATCTAATTATAGATTTTGGTGTCAGTAAGACCTGGTGCTACACTTGCCCTGAAAATTTGGGATTAACCTCTTTAAGTTTCAGTGGATATAACAACAGAACCTTCTTCCAGTGATTGTTATGAAATAATGGACATGTAAAGAACTCAGCCAATCTTTGGTGCATAATATGTTCTTAAGTATATTGTTTTCTTATTATTACTTCTTATTAATACTGTTTCCACATTTCTGGATGTGCTTGGTCAGGATTCTATTTCCTTCAGGGGTTCTGTTCATCCATCTGTTTCGTAATACCCCTTCTAACAGACTATTCATATTGACCCCACCCTGCCAACCCTCTAGCTAAAGGAAGCATCAGAACCCAAAGGGGCTTAGTCACTTTTAATTTTAAGGAGTTAGCAAAATCAACTTATTAATTGGAAATAAAACATTCAGTGAACATTTCTTGTGGAGTCCTGCATTGGAATTGTTTTTCGGTGAAGATAAATATCCATATGTATATATTCCCAAGTTATATGGGTTAAATTTAATGAAATATCACGAGTTAAAGTAAGGAAAGTAAGAGCTGAACATGCTTCTATAATGAAGGAACACGAATATACAAGCAGAAAGCTTCTTTTTTGCTTCTCTTCAGCGATGGATTATGGCACATTTAGGATGAAGAAACTTTTGGGGTCAATCATCTTATTTTCCTTTTCTATCTCTGTTCCCTCCTAGAAAATGATTCTTTTCCTACATTTCATAAAATAAGTCATTGGCATTGTATTTGGGCATAAGAATACAGAAGAACTTTCCTCATACTTAGGTCTTACAGCTTTAGTTTACTAAAGTTTACTTTAAAGGAAAACATAATATGCATTATTGAAACCACAAACATGTAACTGTTAATTATCAGTGGACAATTTCAATCATGAAAAATGAAATATACAGAAAATTCTAAGATATAATTTTAGCCTTTGGGCTCAGTTTGGTTTTTTGTTTGTTTGGGGTTTTTTTTTTTTTTTAACCATTCATTAAAGCTTTTAGGCAATCTACAGTAATTAATTGGGAATTTATTTTCTTTGACTCTGAAAAATGCCAATTTTAAGTTAGGTCACTCTAATGTGTGATTGTTTCTAATAACTATTAATATAGCCATCCACAAACCACTTATTTCAGTGGCCACAGTACTTACTGGGATAGATTTGTGGGCTCAAAGGTTATTATTTCCAGTTTAATATGAAACAAGTTCAGAAGATCACATAAGCTAATTTTAGCATAATAAGCTGATTTTAACATGTTGTAATTACCAAGTCTAACTTCAACACTGTTTTTACAGAGAAGACGGTTTTCTACTATCACTTCAACTAGTGTCCTTTCTCCAGTTATCAGCAATTTTCTTATTTTCACTCTACCTCCATCTCCCCACTTTCTATGGAGTAAGAGCCTCCATAGTAATTAATTGATTTCTCTTGGAAAAAAATTTTTATTGCATAATAACGGTGATTCTTCCCATTCTCAGATAAGCAAGTATTCTTCAGCAGTTGTGATAAGTTGTTTTTAGTATGAAGTAAGCCAGGGAGCTCAGATTCCAGTGAAATTTCATGTGTCTCTGGAAATGATCTTTCTAAGAACTAGTGAACATTTTATTTATCTCATGCTTACTGTGTTGGCATCATTGTGTTAAATTATTATTGTTACAAAAAGGGAGTAAATTAGTGCCTTGGTAATTAAGACTATAGAACTCCTTTATATTTTGTTGGGATATTTGGTTTCAAAGGTATTATCCCTTTTCTTAACACTGAACAGAAGTGTGATCTGAGTCTTCAAGAAACTAAGGATATATTTGTAAAGGTAACAGCATTTGAAACAACAGAACATCATAAGTACAGAGTATTATAGAGTATTATAAAGGATTTATTTTGAACCCTGAGAACGGAATACATTAGGTTAAAAATTTTAAATCCCTGAAGCTTAGTTTTAAAGAAAATATAAGCAGCCTGTGCCTGGTTTCCTTTAAAGCCATTTTTGTCACTGACTTCAGGGTAAAGCTCTGAATTAGGATTGGAATGGGTCCATTCCACTTTAGAGTATTCTTGGCATGGTTAGATTAGCATTAGTTCATTCCTGGTGAGAAAGAGGTGGAATCAGTTCAGCCTATGAATTTGACCTGATTAAGCCAGGAAAAGCTTCCTAGAATTGAGTTTGATTCTCCTGGGCAATCTCAGCCTCAATCTCAAATTCTGGAGCTGAGTAGTATATAGTGACTTGATTAAATGGTATGGACTTTAAAACCATTTTCCTACTTAAAATTGTAGTCTTACCATACAGTACAAGTAAAATTCCTCATGAATACATGTCCCAATTTGAAGCTGAACTATTCAGTAGCCACATTTTCCAGAATAGTTAACCTTAATACCATTCTTAGCTTTAAAATCTTTCTGAACAGTAAATGAAAACTGATAATGAGAAAATGAACATTTATAGGTGTTTTAATTTTATTTTATTATTTTTAATTTTTTTTAATTTTTTTCTTTTTTTGCGTTACGCGGGCCTCTCACTGTTGTGGCCTCTCCCGCTGCGGAGCACAGGCTCCGGACGCGCAGGCTCAGTGGCCATGGGTCACGAGCCCAGCCGCTCCGCGGCACGTGGGATCTTCTCGGACCGGGGCACGAACCCGTGTCCCCTGCATCAGCAGGCGGACTCTCAACCTCTGCGCCACCAGGGAAGTCCCTATAGGTGTTTTTAGTATTAATTGCTTCTTAGTAAAACTGAAAATCCTTTCTAACATTTTAATGGTATCATTTGTTTTTAAATTAAAAAAAAAAAACAGTTGCTGAGGTGCAGTTTTGAGCCATTCCCTTTTTTTTGTACTTCAATTTTTATTTTATTTTTTTTATATACATCAGGTTCTTATTATCTGTTTTATACATATTAGTGTATATATGTCAATCCCAGTCTCCCAGTTCATCCCACCACTACCACCCACCCCTACTTTCCCATTTCTTTAAACGTTTCTATTACAAAATATTAAAGCACCTATCTTTTCTCAGAGACCAGCATGCTGATGATGTCAAAGAAGACTTTGAAGAGAGAACAGTGAGTGAAATGAGGACATCACATGAAGCCACAGGTACCCATAATAATCTCATATTATTGATGGGTATTACTGATGGGTATTACTGATGGGTATTGATGGGTATTACTATTAATACTCAACAATCAAAACTTAACTGGAATGTAGCAGTCCCTTTTATATATTAAAGATAAACTTCATTTGGTTGGTTCTGTTACCACAGGCAATAAAAGTTTATTGTTCAGGATAAATTTGGTGTATACTTCACAATGATATGGATCCATCTGTGACCTGTATTTACAGTCTCTTTCACATATCTGTACAATATTGTATATAAAGTTTGGATAAGGCATTCTATTTGGTCCTTGTAAATTTTTTTGATATTGTTGATATCATTTGCTTCATATGTTTCAGACTCATCTCAGAATGTGTTGAAATTCCAATAGAACTAATATGGTCTTAATCTAATACCACAAAATGAAAAGGAAATTGCTTGAACAAACGTTTTAAGTTGTACTGGAGAAAGTAATTTGTCTTGCATCTTTGCTGAATAGATATTACAGTGGTTTAACTGAACAATGAAGTCGTAATGACTGTTACTCATACTATAGATTTATGCATAGTGTTATAATGTTTATTTTTTATAAGAAAATGTTGTCCCGATTATGATTTTAATGATTGTCCCTGGGGACTTTGCTTGTCATGTGCTTTATTTGGTTTAGACTGTTTATAAGATTGTAGAATGGCACCTAAGGACTGTTTGCCTATAATGACCTATTCCACAAGTGATGCTTTGATTTCCATATCTGATTGTCATAAAGCAGTAATTTATGATTAATTTAAAAGTTATATTCTCTGCTGTCCTCAGCATGTTTTATGGTGTTTAGTCTTGCACCACATACAAACCCTTCAGATGGCCAGGGTTTGCATCCCTGATCTACCTCCTGCTAGCTGTGTAATCTTGGACATCTCATGGAATACCTTTCAGTGCTTGTTTCCTTATCTGTCCAGAAGGTTGATGATGGCAACTCCCCCCCACAGTTGTTACGGGGATTGAGTACAGTAACATTTGTAACTTGCTTAGAACAGTGCTTGGCACATAATAAGTGCTATAATGTTTCTGGTCATTTAGAAAGGAAGAAAAACATTTAATTTACGAAGCTTTTGTCATCAGGGTATATCGGGTTCTTAATCAAAGGCTTCAGCCTTTCTTTGTGAATGGTGGTTAGGAGCACGGCCTTCATTCTCTTCTCAGCTCCACCAGTACTAGCTGTGTGGCTGGCTTTGGGAAAAGTATTTAACTTCTCTGTTCCTCAGTTTCTTAATAGTACCCACATCACTGGATTATTATGAGGAATAAATGCATCAGTGGCCAAAGTATTAGCTGCTAGTGGTAGTAGTAGTAATAGCAGAAGTAGTAGTAGTATTGTGAAATGAGTGTCTATTGCATGGAATTATCTGATCATTGCAAGGTTTAGGTAGATTCATAATAAAATCTTCTGGGCTCTGAACTTTTTGAGGGAGTAATAATTTGACAACCTTTTCAGTTTCTTCCTAACTTGGTGATGCAATTCACTTTTCATTTTATTTGCTGAGCTGATTTTGATCATTTTTTTCTGAACATAGTCTAATTAATGGAGAATTTCAGGTTTATTAACAGGATATGCATGGTGTTCTCTCTTTTTCTGTGGTAGTTTTATGTCTTTTCAAACTTTGTATATTTTTATCCTGTTTTTTAAATTTGAATTGCCTGAGTTTTTCTGTTTTACAATTCTTTCCCAAGAAACATTGCTAGGATCCATATATAACTCTTTGTTATTTTTGTCACCCATAAAACCTATAGTTCAATATGCATATTTTACTTACTGTCTTATTTTTCATTAGTGAAAGGGAGCCTCATAAAAACAAGCTGCTTTGAGAATTTTTGCACATATGTTCCTAAGTAAGGTTCGCATATTAATATCTCATCCAGTTTTAGCCTCCTAAAATGAGTTTGATGACTTCCCTTCTCTTTTGAAACATTTTATGTAAAACTTCCATAAAGTTAATTTTTACTGCAGTGAAATCATGTTATGATTGTCAGCTTTTATTTAACTGCTTTCTTAGCTTTAGATTTCCTTTCTTTCTTTTTTTTTTTTTTGAAAATTTTTTCCAGATTCATGTTGTATGGAAAAGATTTGAATTTCACTTCCTGACGTTACCATTTAAGAGTTTATTGGTTGTCTTTCCCTGGACCCCATGATCCTTCAGTCCAAAATGAGATCTTATGGTGTCTGAGGGCTCCTGTATCTTGGTGATGTTGGTGATATCTCAGATCCTAGTCAGTGGGCGGATGCGTTTAGTTTTTTCTGTCCTCCTGCCTCTCAGGTCTCAGTAGAGCCATGACCTAGTGTCTCAGATTGGGCTCTCCGGAAACAGACATTGGGAGTGCTGTGTGCAGAAGGTTTTTGGTGGGTACTTTTGGGAATGATACCAATGAGAGAGTGAGAGAAGCAACAGTGGGCAGAATGAGCTGTGATGCAGTTATAGCAGAAGCCTCAGTCGATCCCACAAATGAGCTCCAGATGACCCTTCCGAGTTATCCCGAATTTAGGCATGAGGACCAGGCCTTTGTATTGACCAGTCCTTGGATGTTGGCTGAGGGGGGCCGTGTCCTTGGGCAAGGAGCCTCCCTTTGGCTTAGGGCAGTTCCTGGAGAGGGAGGTAGCTCTGAGGCATCAGCAGTCAGCAGGTAGGAGAATGAATCTCTGGGTTCCAAAGGGGGAGCCCACCACAGTGTCCACTACACCTAGCTAGTCATTTGGTCTCTGACTTTCCTTTAAGAAAAATCAAACAGAACTGAGAAAAACTGAACAACAAACCAGAACATCCTTTCACATATGTGGGATTAGGCCCAATTCAATTCAATCTTTTTGTTTTAGACAATGAATCTGGCTCCTAAATTCAGTCTTTTCATTATTTTGCCTGAGATGTCATGCGCTTTATTTACTTTGTTTTTTAGATCCAGGATTTTTTTTTAATCCAGAAAAATTCCTTCAGTTATTATTTTTGTTATTACTTTTGTTCTTTTCTCCTTTTTGATTGGTAATACCTTTTACTCTTGGGTTAGATCCAAAGGATGATATTCAAAATATTTAACAATTGGTTTGACAGCCAACATTGCACAGGACAGTTAAAACAAACACCAGCCACCAGCCTTAGTGCTGGAGCAGAGTTTGGAAGCTCCATGCTGTACTTCGGTGCAGCATCTGGAAGTCCCGCAAGGGCCTGACTGCTGAGGGTGGAGGGGACTATTACCAGCCATTATGGAAGTATTTTAATATTTCAACAGCTTATGCATTTTTTGATACTCTAGACATATTTCTCAAGTTGAAATGTCTTACTCTAGCTCTGTCAAGTCTACTAGTTACTGCCTTTAGCATGAATTTTAATAGTGGTTTTTATTTTCCTTTAATTTCCTGCACTGGCTTGTTTTTTTCTTTTCATAGCCTGTTTTGTTTTGTAGACGTCATGTTCCCTTGTGCCTTACTAAAATCATGAAACGCTTCTGTCAATAAATCAATAGTCCTCTCCCAATGTTTTGTAGAACTTATCAGAGGCCCCCGGTGATTGTTTTTTTATTTTATCATTTTTGAGTGCAGAGAAGTTTCCCCAGGTTTTTTGTGAAGAGCACTTACCCCTCAATGCTCCCATTTGGGTGCCGGTAGAATTCCTCTTTCACACCTGAGCCTGAGGGTCAGGTAGATATGCTGAGCCTAGTAGGTGCTCACCAGTGTTCATTCACAATGTCATTCACCAGTGGTGGAATAGGGGATAGGGGAAAGGAGAGAAATCTTCTTGTAGTTTGTGCACTATTTAGTATAGAGGAGTCTGAAAAGAAGCCACCCTGTATTCCTTATAGCTAGTAGGATTTAAGATTCAGTAAGCCCATGAGAACTATTTTGTTTGGAGTCTTAGAGCAAATTGATTTTTAAAAGCACTTCCCCCTAGAAAAACATCTTCCTACCTTGTTTCTTCAGTTAATTCAATTTAATTCCATACAATATGTGTGATTTTGATGTTTTGATGATTGCCGCTATGCTACCGAATTTGACCTTTGGGGACCTTTACTGAATACAATGCATCACTTTTTCTTCTTTTTCTTTTTGTTGGCTTCTGTCTCCTTTGCCTGAAAGATAAACTAATTCATTTCCTCCATTGTAGGAAGGTCCATTAATAAAGGATCCTATAAATTGACCTTCAAATTTAAACTCCTGTATTCCTGGGAAACGTGTAATTTTCTTTTCCCTTCTGCAAACATTCTCTCTCAGGGGTGCTGATATGCAGAAAGAGTTGAATTTTATTTTGTAATGTACTAGATTCTCACTTGAAAAACCAGGCTTGCCTTTTGCTTCCATAGCAATTGGTTTTTATTTTGGTTGTTAACCTTGAAATGATCCTCAAATATTTTTCACGTCTGCGTTTAGGATCTTGGAGCTAATTTTATCCACATTCCTTGATGCTGTGATCCATTTATTTTACCCAATCATTGTTATTGTTTATCCTTTTTATATTTAGTCACCAGTTAGTAACTCCATTAAAAAAAACTTGGTTGACAGATGTATCCCATTTCTCCTGGCTTTCTTTCCTTTCACATTAAGAGCATTTTTTTATAGACTCATGGAATATTAGCTTAAAAGGGTCATTGATTCCTTTTCATCTTTGCCTTTTTATATTCAGGATACTCTCAGTGGCATGCCTTTCTTTCAAGATAGGAATAAGTTTTCCCACTTGCTGAGTCTTTACTATATGTCAGACACCGGAATAAGCATTTTTAAAAATATCATGTAGTCGTTACAGTGATCCTGTCACATTGATTTAGCCAAAATTTAGAGCTAGTTAGTGGCAGAACAGGGACTTGAATCCATGTATATCAGACTCTTAAACTCAGCCCCTTGACCATGACCCTATACTTTCTTATTAGGAGACAGAAGATCCAGGGTCACTTTCTGATGCTTCCCCTATCTCACAGGGTGGCTTTGGGCTTTGCCCTATCTCACAATGTGTTTTCCTCATCT